ACGAAACAAATTTAATATTAAGTTGGCTAGAAAAATCTGTCGAACACGGTGGGACACACTGTATTATACTATATTATATTTTACCATTTTTAAGTTTTAAAGATGTCCATAATTATATTATTTAAGGTATAATGCTAGAACTTCCAGCAAGTGAAAATTTAAAATTATTTTCCTATTATATTTTTAAAACATACATCACATCAGATTCAATATTCTCACTTAATGCTTTGGTTGAATTTTAGACAACATCCAATGAAATAACAAATAGTTGTGATTTGGTGAATCACCTCACGCGAAGTAAATATTTTATTTTATACCAAACATCCAAATATTTTTATTTTTATTGACGCACTCAAGAAAATCCAATATAATATATACATTCAAATTAAAAACAAAGAAATGAGTATAAAGTCAAAACAAAATACCGAAAAAGACAGTATATTAAACGAACATATGACGAATTACAAGAATAATAAAATTAGTAGAATTGACTTTATTAAGGTCGTAATATTATTAATAGGTCATTGAAATATTTACCCAAAATATAATATTTAATGTAAAATTATTATATTTTGATTTGTTTTTTCATATTTGTGTACTAATGTCATACATATTTCTTTATTAATATTCTGTGTGAATTATTAATTTACTACATTAAATATTTCAAACTTTATTCAATTTACCGCTTTCATTTTGTTATGTGGGATTCAACTAACCTTAAAATAATACAATGGGACTCAATTTACCAAATCTGGTTGCAGTGGGCCCTTTTCCACTGAACACTGGGAATAAGAACAGATAACAAAAAGTCTTTTTACTGATAATTCCCCCCTCCTCGATTATACTATCGTTTGCAGGATTATGAGAATTGTAAACAAAATAATATTGTTGTGTAAAAAACTTTTTTAATTGATAATAATTATTAAAATAATATAATTCCTTTGATTTATATATCTCAGGTACCTGTACTACTATATGTATGTTCGTTAATTTTTCAGGATGAATAATTTGATTTATAATAGGTTTTTCCCGGTTCCTTAACGTGCCAAAACGAATAATTTCATAAATATACAAATTACGGTGCCTAATAAATATTTGAATAAAAGATTTACAAATAGAAGATAGTGTGCGTTTAAAATAACATACATATTTACGTAACAATAAAAAAAAGAGGTTATATAATTTCTGAAGAGATCAAATAAAAGAAAACTATATGCAGACGTTTTAAATAAATATAACCTTCACTAACGAAAAATGCTATTAAACGTGCCTTATTGAACAATTGAACGTGTTTATTTTTATTTCGGTTTCAAAATAAAAAAACGCACTTTTAACGTCAAAAATTCAAGAGTGTGAAAGGCATTAACCTTCTGGAATCTAAAAAAAAAATATGTTACACAAATAAAGTGTATTACCAGACGAGAAATCAGCATCTTATAATGTAAAGCACCCAGTGAGACATTAGTGAAGTATATATTTTCACTCAAAGAAAATGTGTTTCACGAGAAAACAAATCATAAAATCCGTAATTAAAATAATACTGCGCTACGAATTTTTCCTCTCAAAACGTTAAGTCTTATTAATGCGAATATTAGAAATATAATATTATTACTATTTATGGATATATGCGATATTATTAAATTTAGTTAACCCGGCGTTTTGAAATAGTCCTACATTATAATACCTTTTAAACTTTATAACAAGTAGATTGTTGTTATAAAGTTTCGACTGTACGTATAGTAAGTATATAGAGGAAATATTTTAAGTAGGTATTTATACGAAACATACTTTTAACTTTTGAAACGCGAAATTGCCAGTAAAATATAAGATACAAAATATGAATACGCTATGATACACGTTTGCAGCAACCTTCTCGATCTTCTAAACCTCACCCACCTAAACCTTCTATACCTACTCAAACTTCGCGGCGAAACAAGTTAACAAAATTATTATACCGATATAAATTTACTTGATCATTTATTCGTTTCGCAAAATATAAATTTGTGTTATTATTATTATTATAGAGAAGGGGAAGGAGTGGTTAATTTCTCAACCTACGTACGAACACTCTGCCACCTCCGGTCCGGCCCTTACTCGCACGCTCACTGCCTGCCCGTTATGCGTATATAGAGTGGTTATCTTGTATTAAAATATTCACCACAATAAATCTGATTATCCTAATACACCTATACACATATTTTTTGATTAACATTCGATTGCGGCTCGCATTTAAGATGCATTCAACATTTTGCCCTTTTTCCGTGTATTGTTTGAAATAGTGTCCCCTTGTTTTCCCGTAACTCCGATTCTCAAAGAAAATTATGTTTCGCTTATATTCTCTAATTAGGTACATGTCAGTACTTTTAGAATTACTTATATATAAGAGTTTATTACGGTGTTTAAATAAATTTAGACTCAAAGAGCGTATGTATAAGAGAAATTGGCTTATTTGATGTGAGTTTTAAAATAACAACCGCTATATTATATTTATTATATTGTGTTAAAATCAAAAAGTATAAATGCATTTATATATTTTATAATATTATATTTATATATATATTTAATATTTATATATATTTAATATTTATATATATTTAATATTTATATATATTTAATATTTATATATATTTATATTTTATTCGAAATATATTTATGAAATTATGAATAAGGATTTTTTTAAAAAAATCTGCAGGTATAAACTTTATCAATTATAACCACCACTGGTGACTAGGTGATCTATTTAAGTGGGTAAACTTATTATCTAGGAAAGTATTAATTTTTTTCAAAATTTGTTATCTAGAACATTTAAGAAACAAGCTGCTCTAGAATTTTATATTTATGTTATTTTTTGTCACCCTCATTTTTGGGGTGAAACCATTACCTACTTTGGATTTTAAAATGGCAACCTATATTAAAAAATCCACAAATAGACGGAATATTAGTTAAAATAAATTTTAGTGTTAAAATTTTTGATTTCCGTCGATCCGTTGACGAGATATTACACTTTTAAGTTTGGGTGAAAGGAGAGTAGTGAAGTTCCATTTGTGTGATGGTACGGCACATGGCGTGTTAATATTGCACCACTACTCTCTTTCAATCTAAAATGAAAGGTGAAATATTTTGTAAATTACTACAAAAATCAAAAATTTCAATGCTAAAATTCATTTTAAATAATACTTCTTCTATTTGTGAACTTTTTAATATTGGTTGCATTTTGAAAATCAAAAGTAGGTAGTAGTTTTGCCACAAAAATAAAGGTGATCAAAATTAACATAATCATAAAATTGTAGAGTTACTTATTTCGTGAATGTTCTAGAAAAAAATTCCGGAAAAAGTTAATACTTCCCTAGGTGATAATTGTACCCACTTAAATGAACATAGTAATCACGTAGTATGATGCTACGACGGCAATGTGTAACAGAATCCAGTCGAAGAAAGTTGGATGCAGGGATTTCCTAACCTTTTCAACCAGTCTTCTATAAGATATCAAGGAAAAGAAACAAGCAGTGTTAACATCACTAGCGCTAGAAGAAGTATCTTATCAGGAGTTGAGAAGATCACGTAATTCATATAAAATATTTACCCCGGATTAAATCGATAACGAGAAATAATATTAGTCTAGCTTATGCTGAAAGAGACTAGGTGTGCTCCTGTAGATTACAGCCACCACGAAAAATCAGATTCTACGTCAAAATTTCTCCTGTTAAAATATCGCCGGTAAAATATCAGTAGTAAATAAATTTCTTACAAAATATCTCATAATAATATAATTATTACTTTTATTGTTGTATTCTCTAGAATAACAGTATTCTAATATTATAAATGGGAAAATCACGTTACTATTTGGAAGTTCATTAAATTTTTAAAATTGGAACAAGCTTTACATGAAGGGTTTATAAAATATACATAAAATATTAATAAACATTGGAACTTGTTTGTTATAACTTATAGCCTCGCCAATACAATTTACGAAACCGAAATAATATAATTACAGGTAAAATTAAAAAAATTAATTTCTGGAAAGCTTAATCCAGAAAAAAAATACAAGGATCACGACAAAATAATTTAAATCGTAGAAAAATTCAGCGAAACGCCTTCACTAGCTTAGCTCTTCAGTATTTGAGAGAACTGGCATACAACCTTAAATTTTAAATTTATAATTTTCTTAAAAAATGTATATACACAATTAATAAGATCCCATTAAACTAGTGAACGACAATAAATTAAATAACTATAGTGAATTAAATATTTATGATAGTAAAATTTATTCAGAGATATTTTAACGGACCACCGAGTCCACTTTAGTCCAGAATTTCCAAACCATAAACCTATAACGTCATTTTATTTTATTTTTTTTTTTCTCGAATTATGTATCTTACTGAGAAATTTGTATTGAACCTCTCGGTTACACCAGCATGTATAATCGGGGTATAGTAAAAACAGTTTTTGTTGTTTTCTCTAAATAAACATTTTTTAGACTTAACGTTGTTTCTCAAATAGGCGATTTTTTTACTCAAAATATTCGCCATATAATTCACGATAGAACAATTGCTCTGTACTGCCATGCGCACGTATCATAGGCTGTAGAAACGCGGTGGTGGCGTGTAGCACCCTCGCACCATCATCCCAGCCCGAGGCGACGGTGGCGCGAATGACGGCCGCGGAAAGTTCTCCAGCTTTCGTTTATACTGCCGTTTTAATACCCTCGTTCCGACACTATGCCGCTACTATTCACGGTTACAGCCGTCGAAGTAGCGCGTAGTTCGTTTCGCGAGTACCCTTATGTTATATAGATCGCACGTTACGCGTAATACGTACAATTCCCGATCTTTTTCGATAACGCTATTATTATAACAGTATATTATTGATGAAGTTTAACTGTTCACGTTTATAGTGCCTATAATGGAAGAAAAACGAGACGAGTAAAAACAAACTGCGACGACAAAACGTTACAATTTTATTATTTTTTAATTAAACTCGTGGTTGTAAAATCCACCACAATGGCTCGCGGGGGGAATCGTCGAAATGGTCGGATGACTGAACAACCATGTTACTTGAACCTAAATCTGGAGGGCGTGTATACGTATAACACGCGTGAACAGGTTATAACAGCCGTCGACAACGTTTCTTCGCTGGTCAATAGTTCTTCTATACCCGCAAGGATGTTTCTAGAAGGGCCATTTATGGCATCCCTATTAGTTGATGAAACAAATGGACGGGCAGCTAACAGACGACATATTCGTCGCTATCGTCGTAATGGACATCCTGACGGCATAAACAACGATGGTGGAAGCGGGAACGCAGGAGCAACTGTAGGGACGGACAATTACCAGGGCGACGATGCAAGAAATATCGTTGTAGGTGGAGGACGAGGAGACGGCAGTGATGTGGAAGGTGACGTTGCAAATGGAAAAGGAGGAGACACCGGTGAGGACAGAGGCAACGAGACAGGAAGAGCTAGCAGATCGTTGAAAAGACGGCGCAGGAGGCGCGGAAAACGTCAGAAGGCTACACTTCCCATGCCTTCTGAGATCAAGGTACAAAATACAGTTAGCGGTGAAGAGCCATCTTGCAGTAGCGAGACGATGATCCCTACATCTGACAAAGTTGCCGCCGACATTCCTTTGAAGACGAGCAAAGACAAGTAAGCGCATATTACGTAATAAAGTTTAGTTAAATATACGATTACGGTACTTATTTATATAATCCAGTAGGATAGTCACTTTTTTGTGGGCATAGATAATTATATATTTACATATCAATACTATGTAATCAGTTATACGAATACCTGTACATTAAAATTTTACTTAAATTCATTGTGGTCGAAAGAAATAATATTATTATTATGTCTTTCAACAGATACATATTATGTATGTTTAAAAACATTTTAAATTAAATAGACGTTTTTCTTTCGACGCGAGTCCAAACATGACATAGTATAATGACTTACTATAAAATATACAAGAGATTTCTTTTCTATTTGTTCATAATAATAATATATAATATTAGACGAATACATAATATTATTTGAACGTTTGTCCTGAAAAATCGAAATTTTCATCAACGACGCCAACATAATATATAATTATAGAAGTATATGAAAATATTTAACACGCATGTCGGCGAAGATATCTGAATTTATACAAATAAAGTACTAGATTATTATAATAATTATTTTGATTTTTTTTTTTAGTATTTTTATTTAAGTTATATTCGTGATATTTATTTGTTAAAGGTACACAATTAACGATTTTTAGTGCAGCGTTTTGAGTTATGAATATTAAAAAAAAGGCGGACATACTTCGTACGATGTGTGTAAACACTGTTGTTGGTAAGAAGTTGGAAAGTTAGGATATAGAGGGGAAATTAATTTGTATTTGCAATGATGAATCATTGAATCCACATTTGCTTGGAAAACTCTTGGGAAAATCGAAAAATGATCTCCATACCTCCATACCTGCTTAGTACCTTCTCGATCAGAGTTTTCCTTTCAAAAAAAGTGCTATCATTGTAAACCAGAGCAAAAGTACTGGTAAAAAAATTGTTCACAGGAAAAAAAGGCCGAAATATTTTTAAACTAATACTTACACTTCGTACATTTTCCCATTTTATCTCCATTAGTTTTTCAGTTGTTTATATTTGTTAAGAAAACTCCGGGGAAAATCGAAAAATGTTTCTTTCAGAAAAAGTGCTATCATTGTAAATCGAAACAAAATTTCTTGTAGAAAAGTTGTTCAAAAAACATTATAGTGTTTTACTAATATATTTCGTACATTTTCCCGTTTTTTTTTTTTACTTTTTCCTTTTTGTTGGGAAAACTACCAGGAAAATTAAAAAAATAATCTGCCTAAAGTACCATTCCAAGAAATTTTACATTCAGAAAAGGGTGTACCATTGTATACATCGGAGTAAGCTTTCTGATAGAAAAAGTGTTTGCATAAAAAAAAAAGAAAGAAATCTTTGTAAAACTTTGCAACACTCAGTAACTAAAATAACTAATATAATAACATATTGGTTTATGTTTTTAATGATTTACGAATACACTATAGCAGCGGTTCCCAAACTTTTTTGGTTCACGCTACCCTAAAAATAAAAAAATAATTACGCCTACTATGAATAAATTAACTACAATTCTGGATTATTATTTGGATGTTTCTTATATTTACGTTTTAGAGAAAGATATTGCTTACGTCATGCAGAAAATAACAAGCCTTTTGATATCCATTCCTTTAACCGTTTATTTTTGGAATTAACAAATTTAGAAGTAGAAGAAATATTAAGGGCATTTGTAATTATATTTTGAAATATAGAAATACATTTATTGATTGAGCTACATTCATGTAATTTTTCCCATTTTTCTAAACTTAATAATGTGTTCATTTCATCATGATTTATGACATCAAGATTCATTAATTTAACAGAAATTGGAATTGATTCTATAATAGAACAAAGGTCAGTGATATTTGTTAATAAGACACTTGCATTTATTTTAATGAATATATTGATATTATTACGTTTAATGAACACATGATCTAAGCACGAATACTATTAACCCTTTGGTAATCTCGTAAAAACATTTATAAAAGAAAAAAAACTGAATGAGTTTACTTGAAACCTGGATTGACGCCAGTTTCAAACGTAAACCACCATCAAATATTGCGTATCGTGTGTGCTGGCCGCTCAGGTCGTCTAGTTTAGAAGCCCATGAACGTCTGTAGTCCAAATCGGGTCTCGGTCATATACATTACTATTTTACACTAAGGTTAATATATTAGGATTTCGTCCAACTCATTGTAAACACTATGGCCATTGCCCACATCGTCTCAGCCATAGTAAAATAAAACTAATAAAACTTATTTACCAATACCCCCCTCCTCCCTCCCGTTTAGTAAAATACACATTCTTGTATTATAATCTGTTACCTACCTATTCTGGGAGCCGACTGCTTTTAGGCACTAGTCGTTATTAAAGGTGTTGTTGTTCCTGCTCGCCACCGTTACTAACGACCAACGTCAATGATCATACCTGTCCCATCGAGAGTTAAGCTGCCTACTCGGTAGATCTTACGGCGTATTAAAACCTTTTACCATCATTTGTATAAGTGTGTCCCGTGGTACCTACTTACCACGCCTAAAAATCTTCGAACCGTACTTTCTCACACCAAAGTATGTTGGTTAGTTTTACACTCTCCCTACCATCCTTTTGGATCCACGTGTGCAAAATACATACACAATAATAATTATTAATTTTTATTGATAGGTAAATTATATCAAATAATCAATATTTTTAAACTATCTATATATGTATATGAATTCTACACAATAAGTCATAGGACGTTAATAAGTTGTTGAAAAGGGATACTATTTAATAATGTTGTGTGACTCAATACTAACTAAACTACTAAATACTTAAAATATAATATCTATCTCACCATAAAAAGTTTACGGATATACAATGTGTACCACGGTGTTTAATTAATTTTTCTAGCGCTGTTAGTATTAAATATTTTTCGATTTTTTTTTTTTTCATTCGGTTTGTCTTCTAAGAGGACATCGATTTGGAGAAAAATTAAATTTGTTTCTTCATACCCTAAACACATTCCAAAAAAGAATTACCTTATTTATTCACGTTAGAATATTTTCAAAATAAAAAAAAAAATAAAATTGTACTTATTAAATTAAATTTTGTTTACAATTCTCATAATCCTGCAAACGATAGTATAATCGAGGGGGGGGGGAATTATCAGTAAAAAGACTTTTTGTTATCTGTTCTTATTCCCAGTGTTCAGTGGAAAAGGGCCCACTGCAACCAGATTTGGTAAATTGAGTCCCATTGTATTATTTTAAGGTTAGTTGAATCCCACATAACAAAATGAAAGCGGTAAATTGAATAAAGTTTGAAATATTTAATGTAGTAAATTAATAATTCACACAGAATATTAATAAAGAAATATGTATGACATTAGTACACAAATATGAAAAAACAAATCAAAATATAATAATTTTACATTAAATATTATATTTTGGGTAAATATTTCAATGACCTATTAATAATATTACGACCTTAATAAAGTCAATTCTACTAATTTTATTATTCTTGTAATTCGTCATATGTTCGTTTAATATACTGTCTTTTTCGGTATTTTGTTTTGACTTTATACTCATTTCTTTGTTTTTAATTTGAATGTATATATTATATTGGATTTTCTTGAGTGCGTCAATAAAAATAAAAATATTTGGATGTTTGGTATAAAATAAAATATTTACTTCGCGTGAGGTGATTCACCAAATCACAACTATTTGTTATTTCATTGGATGTTGTCTGAAATTCAACCAAAGCATTAAGTGAGAATATTGAATCTGATGTGATATATGTTTTAAAAATATAATAGGAAAATAATTTTAAATTTTCACTTGCAGGAAGTTCTAACATTATACCACTTTATTTGGTGTCCCACTTCATATACACCGGCCGTCCTCTATCATTCTCGATCGCAACCAACTACCTCTTTTTCAGTTTTTAATTTATTATTACTAATAATTATACATAATATTGTGGAAAATGTAATTATACTAGCTACTATATGTAATATACTAGCTATTATTTAAAATTGTATTATTACTTATTTAAATGTACATGATTTATATAGTTTTTATCAGCATAGTTGTTATACTTTCAATATTCAATATGACCAACTAACGAATATATTATGGTTATATCGGATATAAAAATAATACGACGTGTATAGTGTTGGCACAGATGCGGTCAACACTTTTTTGGTGGCACTTGCGGTCACTCGGTTATTTTGTTTACTGACTATCTATATCGAGTTTGCATTACACGAACATTCGGGTTTACATTGCACGAGCATTCGTGTTTGCATATATTTAAAAGAAAACTGGTGTTGTTATTTTTTGTTATAATGTAATTATTAAATATGTATGGTTTGTTAGGTAAGTTTTTGTACGAATGAAATAATGCAATCTTTTTCTGAGGCGAAGGGTTTAGATAAATTAGGAACATTTTTTTCCTAATAAATATATATAGTATAAGACTTCATCAAATTTTCGTTTTGGTTGTGGAAGGGAGAGGGGGGTTAAACCCGAAAACCCTCCCGTAAGTACATCACTGAATAAGTTAATTTTTTTATTAGAGTAGAATAATGGATTAGCACTTTTGTCATGCCATTGAAGTACTGAAATTTCTTCAGAAGAGGTCATTATGATGAATTTATTATTTAAAGAACAGGAAATTAGATTTTTTGTTATAGGTAATCATAATGTATATAATATATAACTATAAATAATAAATACCTACATGGATATTATATTATAGGTTTCATTTGTTACTATTTTCGTTAAAAGAAAACAGTTTTATAAACATTTAAATAGTTATCGAAATACTTACTGATAATATCAACCTTCCAAATTTCTGAGAACGGTGATGATAGCGATGGTTATTGAACAATTCCACTCCCTTTCCTTAGGGGAAATAAAATGTTTACCAACGAGTACCCCACCCCTTTGCAAAAATCCTAAATACGCCATTGATTATCACAAGTATTTTTTAGGCAGTGATCATGAAATTAACAAAAATCGTTTTGCGTGGGCAACATTTACTCGGGCTATGGACTTATTAGTATAGTTAA